GTTGAATAGAAGTGGTGAAAGCAGACATCCTTGTCTTTTTCCCAAACTTAGTGGGAAAGCTTTTGGTTTTTCCCAGTGAGCATGAAGTTAGCTGTAGTTTTTTCATATATGGCCTTTATTATGTTGAAGTATTCCCCCTTTCTTCCTATTTTGCTGAGGTTTTTATTTTTACATAAATGGCTGCTTTTTCTGCATCTATCGAGATGATCATGTGGTTTTTGTCTTTCCTTTTGTTTATGTGATGTATTATGTTTATCGATTTGTGGATATTGAACCATCCTTGCATCCCTGGGATGAATTCCACTTGATCATGGTGGATAATCCTTTTGATGTATTGCTGGATGCGGTTTGCCAATATTTTGTTGAGGATTTTAGCGTCTATATTCATAATCGATATTGGCCTGTAGTTTTCTTTCCTGGTTCTGTTTTTATCTGGTTTTGGCATTAGGATGATGCGGGCCTCATAAAAAGAGTGTGGGAGTCTTCCTTCATCTTGGATTTTTTGGACTAGTCTGAGAAGGACAGGGGTTAGCTCTTAAAGGTTTTGTAAAATTCCCCTGTGACACCGTCCTGCCGAGGGCTTTTTTTATGCTGAGAGTTTTTTGATTACTGCTTCAATTTCACGGGTTATTATTGGTCACTTCAAGCTTTCTGCTTCTTCTCCATTCAGTGTTGGAAGATTATACTTTTCTAGAAATTTGTCCATTTCATTGAGGTTTTCAAGTTTCTTGGCATATAATCGCTCATAGTAATTTCTTACAATCCTTTGCATTTCTGTGGTATTAGTTGTTATTTCTCCTCTTTCATTTCTGATATTATTCATTTGGGTCCTCTCCCTTTTTTTCTTGATGTGTCTGTTTAAAGGCTTGTCAATGTTTTTTATCACTTCAAAGAAACAGCTCCTGGATTTATTGATCTTTTGAATTGTTCTTTTATTGTCTATGTCATTCACTTCTGCTCTGATCTTATTTCCTTCCTTCTACTTGCTCTGGGATTTGTTTGCTGTTTTTCCAGTTCTTGAAGCTTAAGGTTATGTCATTTATTTAAAATGTTTCTATCTTTTTAAGATAAGTCTGTGTTGCTATTAATTTCCCTCTCAGGACTGCCTTGTTGTGTCATAGGTTTTGGACTATTGTGTGTTCATTTCCATTTGTTTCCAGAAACTTCTTGATTTATTCTCTTATCTCATTCTTGACCCATTCATTCTTTAATAGTTGGCTATTCAGCCTCCATGAGTTTGAATGTTTTTGAGTTTTTCCTTTGAGGTAGGTTTCCAGTTTCAAGCCCTTGCAGTCCAAGAAAATGCTTGTTATGATTTCAATTTCCTTGAATTAGTTGAGGCTTGTTTTGTGTTTATCATGTGGTCTATCTTTGAAAATGTTCCATGTGCATTTGAAAAGAATGTGTATTTTGCTTCTTTTTGATGATAGGTTCTATCTTTATCAGTTAAGTCCATTTGATCTAGTGCTTGGATCAGTTCCACAATATCCTTGTTTATATTTTGTTTTGAAGATCTATCCATTTTTGGCACTGAGATGTTAATATCTCCTACTGTCAGTGTGTTGCTGTCTCTATCTTTCTTGAAGTCCTCCAAGATTTTTCTTATATATTTGGGTGTTCTTATGCCAGGTGCATATAGGTTTACAATGTTTATGTCTTCTTCAGTGGTTCTTTATTTGACTATATTTATAAAGTATCTTTTTGAGTCTTTTGTCAGAGACTTTTGTTTTGAAATGTATTTTGTCTGATATAAATATTGCTACCCCTGTTTTTTTCCCCTGTCCATTTGCTTAGAATTTTTTTTCCATCCCTTCACTTTCAGTCTGTGTAGGTCCTTTGTTCTTAGGTGGGTCACTTGTAGGCAGTATCTGTGCAGGTCATGTTTTTAATCCATTCTGGTATCCTGTTCTTTTGATTGGAGCATTAGTTCATTTACTTTTAAAGTTATTATTAATAGGTTTTTATTCATTTTTTCCCTTTGTACTGGTGTTTTTCTCTTTCTCACTCTTTTTCTTCATCTTCTTAAACCAGTCCCTTTAGCATGTCTTGTAGTGCTGGTTTGGTGGAGACATATTTTTTTAGTCTTCTTTTGTCTGGGAAACCCCTTGTTTCACCTTCCATTTTAATGGAGAGCCTCATTGGGTAGAGCAGTCTTAGTTGCAGGCCTTTGTTTGACTTGGAATATTTTTTGCCATTCTCTTCTGGTTTGTATTGTTTCTGTTGAGAAGTCAGGGACTAGCCATATCAGGGCTCCCTTGTATATTTCTACTTTTTTCTTCCTTGCTGCTTTTAGGATCATCTGCTTGTCTTTGATATTTGCCATTTTAATGATGATATGTCTTGGAGTGGAACGCTTTGTGTACTTCTTGAATGGGACCCTCTGGGCTTCCTGGGCTTGCGTGACTTTTTCTCTCCTCCAATTAGGGCAGTTTTTCATCATTACTTTTTCAAACAGATTTTCTATCTCTTGCTCCTCTTCTTCTTCTTCTGGTATCCCTATTATACAAATATTATTACATTTCAGGTTGTCCTGCATTTCCCAAAATGCCTCTCCATTCTCTTTGTTTATTTTTTCATTTTTTTTGCTCTTCTGGGAGCTTTTTTCTACCTTATCTTCCTGCTCACTGATTCGATCCTCTGCTTCATCCAGCCTGCTTTGGATTCCTTCTACTGTGTTGTTCAATTCAGAAATTGTATTCTTCATTTCCTCTTGTCTCTTATTGATAGCTTCTATGTCCTTTTTTATGCTGGTATAGTTTGCAGTAAGTTCTTCATAGTTTCTCTGTAGTTTTGCATAATGATCTTTGAGCTCACTGAGCTCATTGAGGTTCCTTAGGTGCGTTGTTTTGAATTCAATATCTGATAGTTTACTTGCCTCTATTTAATTTAGTTCTCTTTCTGGGGATTTCTCCTTTTCCTTGATTGGGGGGGGTGGTGTTTCTTTTTCCTCCCATTATTTGTAAGACTCTTCTTTTTTGCTTCTGCTTCTTAATTGATTTGCTTTGATTTCTTGACTTTGTGGTGTGTACTTGTATGGTAGTAGATGGCTCAATTTTTTTTTCAGTGTCTACCTCTGATTATGTCAGATGTTGACCCTGTGTGACCTTAGGCAGTCTGTTTGAGACTTCCCAGAATCTAGTGTCTGCATCTATTTTCTGCAATTGTTCTTCTAGTCACTCTGACATCAGCCATCAGGCTTAAGCACCACAGGTTGGGTCAGAGCCTCCCGAGGGTAGCATTATTGTGTCCTTTCAGGTTCTTGCCACTCAGGGGAGTGGTTTTCCTAAGCAAGACAGACACTGAAGATTGGACAAGGAGTCAGCACCAGGATGCCCCCAGCTACTCCCAGTTCTCTCCCAAATGCCTACGTCTCCAGTCTCTCCTCAAGCATCTAGACCACTCTGTGTCCCCTTTTGCCAGCCATCTTCTATCTATGATTGCTGCTCAGAACTCAGCACCCAGGCCTGTGCACAACTCCTGGCTGGGGTAGAGTGTCCTGAGGGCAAAGTTATTGTTTTCTTTCACACTATTGCCACTCAGGGGAGTGGTCTGTCTGCACAAGATGGACACTGAGGATTGGGTGAGGAGTCAGTACCAGGATTCCCCCAGTTACTCCCCCAATTCTCTTCACAATGCCTCTTTCTCTAGTGTCTCCTCGAGTGCCTTTAGACAGCTCTGTGTCCCCTTTAGTCAGGGATCTAGTATCTGTGCTGGCCACTCAGCACTCAGCACCCAGGCCCATGCGCAACACAGGGTCCAGGTAGAGCCTCCTGAGGGTGAGGCTATTGTGTCCTTTATGCCTGAGCAAGATGGAAGCTGAGGAATGGGATGTTAGTCAGCACTGATGACCTGCTGGCCACTGTCTCAGTTCTTCTTCCAAAGCTTTCCTCACCAATCTTTCCTCAGCCCACTCTGCTCCAGCCCACTCTGCTCCCACCTTTTCCCAGAGGTCAAGGAAGGTGGCTGCCACTGAAAGTTTTTGTATTGGCTCTTTAAATGGCTCTTTATGTCTCCAGCTGCCTGTCTCTGGCAAAGAGCATCATTAGGCTTTTTGCAGTTGTCTGTTTTCTGTGTGCTTTTTTTGGGCTTTGGTACAGTAGGCTGGAGGTCCCCACTTATTATTCAGAACCTGCTCTTCTCATGGGGATCCAACTAGCTGTTTCAATATCTCTCTGGTGCTCCTGCCTGTGGGCGCCCAGCCCACCTTGTTGAGCCTCCACCACACTTCTTACCCATTAAGGTAAGTGAAAGCCAATTCCTCTGTCTGTCCCTAAATTTTTAAATATTTTATAATGGATCTAGACATTAAAAAAAATAAATAACTAAAATCTATCTCCATTTTTTAAAAAAATGAAAGAGAAAAGGAACTCCTACCATTTGCAACATCATGTATGGAACTGGAGAATATTATGTTAAGTGAAATAAGCCAGTCGGTGAAAGACAAATAACATATGATCTCACTTATAAGTGGCATATATTCAACAAAGTACACTAATGAATAAAATAAACCACAGGCAAGGATACATGGAGCAGAGTGAAAGTGACCAGAGGGAATGGGGAAGGAGGACAATGGTGGAAAGATGAAGAAGGAACTAAACAAGGAACATGTGTGAATGACTAATGGACATGGACAACAGAGTGGGAATTGACTGTGGGAGCAGGGGTGGAGGGTGGGATGGGTGGAGGAGGGCAAAGGGAGAAAAATTGAGACAACTGTGATAGAATAAACATGATATAAAAAAAAGTAATTGGTGAAAATGATAAATGTCTTTCATTATACAGAAAAAGACAGAGTACTTTTTGGCCAACCAATAACTTCATTTGTCTTGATCTGAGAAATTAGGGAGCTGTACTAGGTGTTTCCTTCATGTCCCTTCCACTTCTGGCAATCCCTATAGACTGACACTGTACTCATGGGAAAAACCGTGATTTGGGTGTACATTTCCTGAAGACAGTGACAACACTCAAAGGCATCTATAGCATCATGTCCACATTCATACCTAAGGGCGTTTCCACCAGGACTGCATTGAAGAGGTCGGAAGATGTCTCTGCAATGTTGACTGCTTCCATTTCTGTGAACCGGCCCAGTGGGTGGCACTTCCCCAGAACTTCCTTCACAGACTTTTTTTGCAAGGTGCCGGTCAGCAGTAGAATCACATTGTCAATCATGTAGCTGCACCTGATGCAGAAGAAGGTTTGGACGTTAGGAAAACATCTGCATCCGAGTAAAATGCACCCCACTCACTGGTAAAACCAACCATCAGGCCCCAATGCTTTGGTTAAGGAAATATGTGAGTCTCTTCCTTTTAAACTGTGGTGTGTGAGAGATGTGAGTGAGTAAATATTGGACTCCATAGGGTGCCAGAGTTGGAAAAAGCACATTCAGTGCTATAATAGCTGATTAATACTATGAGAAGATGACCTCTGCAGGTAACTGTCACATGAGTGGGGTGAGAGTGAGGGTATAATGTGTCTGCTTTATCAGGATGGATGGAAAAAGGGCTAAAAATTCTGAGAAAGGCAGACCCAGAGTGATTTATTCAATTTTGAAAACTGAATATTTAAATCTGTGATGAAGTTCAGCATCAAGGATTCAAAATTTAAAATATTTAAAAATAAGTTTAAAAAGTTAAATATATTTTATTAGTACTTAATATTTAGATAATAAAAAAAGATTCTGTATTCTTCTCTTCTTATGAGACCAGGTGGTGAACTTTGTAGCTGTGCCACTCTCCCCCTCCGCCCCATCCCTAGGAGTCCTGATTCATATTTTATGTGATTCCTTACCCATGTGAGCCCTGCTGGGGGATTCCCCATGCTTGTTCACTCACAGGCTTAGCACCTAGGAGAGTCTAGGCACTGAGGTCAAGAAGTGACAGAAACACAGACCTTCCTTCATAGAGAGTCCAGTTTAGGGGAGGAACTGGTACAGAATCCACTAGAATAAATTGTAGTGAAATGTACACACTCTGACAAAAAAGTGACAAGGTAGTTTGGGGGTGCAGAGCCAGCAGTCAATCTGTCTGGGACCAGGCTTTCCAGGTCAAGCTGAAGCCTGCAGGGTGAGTAGCTGTCTAGGCAGACAGCTTGGCAGTGGGAAGTGTCCCCATGCCAGAGGACATTTGTCTAGGCTGGAGCACAGATGTCTGGCTATGGCTGGGCACAGAGTCCCGGCAGTGAAGATGTACAGTGTGGCAGTTAGCAGTGATGGGAGATTCAAATGCCTGTAAGAAGAAGGGGAATCATGGTCTATTTGGAATATGGACTACACAGGAGGAGAGGTAAGTGCTTACATAGCAGGGTGCTTCACACAAGTTATTCTATTTAATCATGACAACACCACCATGGTGGCAATAGGTAATGTCTTCTCCATGACATGGCTACTGAATGAGGGAAGTGAGAAACACACTTTGTAACTTTCCTCTAAGCTCTCACATATGCTGCCTAGTAGTTGAGGGTGACAAAAGTCTCGGGTTGTGGAACCATTATCTGGGAGAGAGAGTTGGTGGGGAAACAGTGCTGTGGGGGCAGGTTTAGGTTAGGATAAGTTCAGTGTGCCTGGAAGCTTTCCAGAGGTCATGCCTGGTAGTTCACCAAGGCACAGTCCTGAGCCAACAGTGGACAGAGACATCAGTGGGGGTACGGGGGGGGGTTTAGGTAAAGGCATTGTCATTGGGAATCATAGCCTAGTGTGAATTGAGTTCTGTCCTGAGAACTCAGGGAAATCTCAACATCTAAGGACCTTGATGAAATCTAAGAATCACTGATAGATTGTAGGAGGAAAACCAGAAGAGAGAATTCTGGGAAGTTCTAGAGTTCTAGGAAGAAGGGGCCAGAGCATCAGAGGCCAGGGGAAATGCAGGCAGACATGATGTATACACAGGATACAGACACTAAAAAGTCACCTGGGAATGCAGGGAGGACACCATCTCTGGACTTTGTGGAAGGAGGAGGAAAGAGACAGAAACCTGGTGCCTGTGTGTTTAAAATGAGTGGAAAATAGAGTTTTAACAACTCTATTGTTAGGAAGGGAAAGATAATGGTATGTTCGCCCAGCAGTCATGGAGGTAGTTCACTTTCAGTTTGGATATTTGCTTTTTTAAGATGAGAGAGAAGTGAAGATGTTTAAGCAAAAGGGTGAGGTGTTGGTCAGAAGAGCAAAAGGACAACTAATGGGTAAGTTGAGGTCCTCTAGTGAAGGGACAGTGATGGGACTCAGTCACTACCACAATCCAGGCTTGGAAATAACACTTTTCACTGGCATGTCCTGGAGTCAGGATGCATGGCTGACTGACTTCCTTTGCAAGGATGTGCTTCCTGCTGGGAAAGAGTCTCTTTCGTGGTGGGGCTCTGCAGTTTGCCCCACTAAAAGTCTAGTTAAGGAAGTTTTGAAGCAGGAAATTATGTCTTTACAAAATGTACATAACTATAAAGTTTCTTCACTCCCAAACAGTAGAACCAAATGTAGACATTATGGAATTTTAGAACCCTTCTCTCTTGAAAATGACATTCCTGTGGAAGTGCTTATCTTTAACTGTCTCTGTAGGGCTCAAAAGCTATTACCTGAGGGGGCAGCAGCCAGTACTTAGTAATCCTTAGCAGACATTTTACTGATTCTTATATCACCCCTATAATGCAGACATGAGCTGCCAACATTCTCAATCTGAAGATGACTATTTGACCAATGTTGATGGCCAACCAATGTCAACAGTGTGTGTGTGGATGTGCACAAGGGTTTACTGAGTATTGTTATCTTATATAGCAAAGAGCTATAGAGATTGGATTCTGGTTTATTTCAACTCATTACTTAAGTGGCTTTGTTTCTAAGATGGGACAATAACACTAGTTCTCATAGTGTTGTTCAGGAAATGAAGTGAGAACACAGCCTATATCAGGGTCAGAAGCAGGGAGGGGTCTCTCCTATCCCTTCCTGAATCTCCTTCACATGTATACACCAGTATATAATAATCATTGGCGCTCTGGGTTGACAGGTGATATCGGACCAGAAGACAGTTTACTTTCTCCAGACTAATCTTTACAGACTTTCAGGGCCATCCATATGGTGGTTAGCAATGAAATCACTGCTGATGGTGCCTGAGTAATTTTTGAGCTTAAAAACACCTGGGAATTCGCCTGGTTCAAAGCACTCATGTTTTGGGTACCTGTGCTCCTAAGTGATGTCAGACCCAGGATTAGTGCCTCTTCAGTTAGGCGAATTCCTTTCCTACTCATGCCGTAGAGTCTACAATGTAGAGAAACATCCTCATTTATAGCCTTTCTTAAATATTTTATTCTATAACTGGTAAGGCACCTGTAGGAATCATGAAGTCACCTAAAATCATGATGGAGAAAGGGACTCAATTTTGAGAATATCCAGTTGTAAAAATAATTTTTTAAAAGTACATATGCTTGAGATACCACTTCATACTGGTCTGAATGGCCATCATAAACAAATCAACAAACAACAAGTGTTGGTGAGGTAGTGGAGAAAAGGGAACCCTAGTACTCTGTTGATGGGAATGCAGACTGGTGCAGTCACTATGGAAAACAGTATGGGATTTCCTCAAAAAACTAAAAATGGAACTGCCTTTTTACCTAGCAATTCCAGTGCTGGGATTATATCATATGAATGCTGAAACACCAATTCAAAAGAACCTATGCATCCCTGTAAATACAGCAGTGTTATTTACAATAACCAAGTGCTGGAAACAGCCTAAGTGCCCATCATTAAATGAGAGGATCAAAAACCTATGGTGCATTTACATAATGGAATACTACACAGCAGAAAGAAAGAGGGGGCTCCTACCCTTTGCAACAGCATGGATGGAGCTGGACAGCATTATGCTAACTGTAATGAGCCAGGCGATGAAAGACAAATACCATATGATCTTCCCTTTAAGTGGAACCTAATCAATAAAATAAACAAGTGAACAAAATATAACCAGAGACATTGAAAGAAAAACAAACTGACAGTAACCAGAGGGGATAGGAGAGGGGGATAATGGAGGAAAGAAGGGGAAGGGCCACCAAGGAACATGGATAAAGGACCCATGGACAAAGCCAAGGAGGGGTGGGATTGAGGGTGGGGTGGGGAAGAGAGTTGGGTGAAATGGAGACAATAATATTTGAATAGTAACAAAAAAATAAAATAAACCTTAAAAAATGCCAACTCTTTGAGGTTCTTTCTATGTGCTCTGGACATGTACATGCTCTTATTCAACCTCACAATTCAATTCTGTACAGACCATGATAGTCACCACTTCACAGGTGAGAAACTAAGGCTGAGAGGTATTCACACCTTGTCTCAGGTAACTGCGGGAAAGAGGCAGAGTCAGACCTTAAAACCAAACTCTGGCTCCCTGTTAGGTTCAGAAAAAACACCTCAGGGTCAGACAACACTTTGACATTTACTTTTTGGTCTTAGAGCTACTCTTTCTCCTTTGCTCTCAATATTGTCTAAGGATCTTGAAAGGAACTATCATACCTTTTCTATTGATACATTTCAAATTGTGAGCTAATGGAACAGTTGTGAAAAGGTCAGATGATGGAGAGCCATAAATGTGGCATGTTAGAAGAACTGTTCTATGGTTAAAAGATTGAGGTATTTAAATATTATTAAGTAGCTGAGAAATGACTCATTCACTGAGCAATCTGATGAGACAAAAGAGAAATGTCTTCTAAAAGCACAGTTTGGTGAAGCTCAAATAAATCCATAAGGAATGTGTCAGGTTCTTTCTGAAGATGCAGTTACCAAGGGCAGGAGTCAAAGCTGGAGGGGTTTTGCACATCCTTTGAGGTTTCTGTTGTTAGATCTTGAGCTGAGCTTGATCCTGTATTACCTGCCTTCCCCAAACCATAGTGATATTCAATGTGCACAAAAAGTAAGACATTCATCCATGGAGGATCACAAGGGAACCAGAGATTTTAGTAAATTTATAGAACATTTGAAATGGATAGAATCTTATTGATGGGTGAAAACAAAGAAAAGCCATGGCTCAGAATGCACACATGACAAAGCAGCTCAGTACTGGGAAATTTCCAAGGAAGTGTCAAGCTTGCCTTGGTTCAGGAAGAGAGGCAAGGTGGGGGTGTAAGGTAACGGGTTGGGGCAATTCAGTGGGAAAGTGCTGACTATCACTGTCTTCTCATGGTCACATTCAAATGCACATGACAGCAGTG